AAAAATTTTATATGAATGAGTATTTTCTTTTTGTCTATATAGAAAATTGTCATTTTAAAACAATTTTTTAAATATTTTTTTTCTTTTTGTGTTGCATTTGTCATTTAACATTGAGTAAGGCCTTTTTGCTAAATTTTTAAAACAAAAACAAATAAAGCGCAAAACTATTTTAAACACCCCTACAATGTCTTCTAAATAATACCCACTTCCTACTTGTGTGTGGTGGGCAAATTTTCAAAAAATGACTGCATGCGTTCTTTTCGTTCGTTCGTTAATTTACCCGCTTTTTATGAAATGCGTTTATATATTTTTATTTGTTTATACAAATTTATGTGTGTTGGTGTCTGTATATTTTTTGGTTAATTGTTTCAATTTATTTGTTGTTTTAATTTAAATATTTATTTCTAAAATATTCGTTTAAATAATGAAGGATTTTTTTTCAAATATTTATTTACACATTTTTGTTAAATTTACTTTAAAATTGTTGATAATGTGCCAATTATTAAGTAGAAAATAACTTAATTTATTACTAGTAATAAAAAGTATTTTTTTTAAAATTTAGTTCTAGTTCAGTTCTAGTTCAGTTCTAGTTCAGTTCTAGTTCAGTTCTAGTTCAGTTCAGTTCAGTTCTAGTTCAGTTCTAGTTCTAGTTCAGTTCTAGTTCAGTTCTAGTTCAGTTCTAGTTCAGTTCTAGTTCAGTTCTAGTTCAGTTCTAGTTCAGTTCTAGTTCAGTTCTAGTTCAGTTCTAGTTCAGTTCTAGTTCAGTTCTAGTTCAGTTCTAGTTCAGTTCTAGTTCAGTTCTAGTTCAGTTCTAGTTCAGTTCTAGTTCAGTTCTAGTTCAGTTCTAGTTCAGTTCTAGTTCAGTTCTAGTTCAGTTCTAGTTCAGTTCTAGTTCAGTTCTAGTTCAGTTCTAGTTCAGCTAGTTCAGTTCTAGTTCAGTTCTAGTTCAGTTCTAGTTCAGTTCTAGTTCAGTTCTAGTTCAGTTCTAGTTCAGTTCTAGTTCAGTTCTAGTTCAGTTCTAGTTTGTTCTAGTTCAGTTCTAGTTCAGTTCTAGTTCAGTTCTAGTTCTAGTTCAGTTCTAGTTCAGTTCTAGTTCAGTTCTAGTTCAGTTCTAGTTCAGTTCTAGTTCAGTTCTAGTTCAGTTCTAGTTCAGTTCTAGTTCAGTTCTAGTTCAGTTCTAGTTCAGTTCTAGTTCAGTTCTAGTTCAGTTCTAGTTCAGTTCTAGTTCTAGTTCAGTTCTAGTTCAGTTCTAGTTCAGTTCTAGTTCAGTTCTAGTTCAGTTCTAGTACAGTTCTAGTTCAGTTCTAGTTCAGGTCTAGTTCAGTTCTAGTTCAGTTCTAGTTCAGTTCTAGTTCAGTTCTAGTTCAGTTCTAGTTCAGTTCTAGTTCAGTTCTAGTTCAGTTCTAGTTCAGTTCTAGTTCAGTTCTAGTTCAGTTCTAGTTCAGTTCTAGTTCAGTTCTAGTTCAGTTCTAGTTCAGTTCTAGTTCAGTTCTAGTTCAGTTCTAGTTCAGTTCTAGTTCAGTTCTAGTTCAGTTCTAGTTCAGTTCTAGTTCAGTTCTAGTTCAGTTCTAGTTCAGTTCTAGTTCAGTTCTAGTTCAGTTCTAGGTTCAGTTCTAGTTCAGTTCTAGTTCAGTTCTAGTTCAGTTCTAGTTCAGTTCTAGTCAGTTCTAGTTCAGTTTCTAGTTCAGTTCTAGTTCAGTTCTGTCAGTTCTAGTCAGTTCTAGTTCAGTTCTAGTTCAGTTCTAGTTCAGTTCTAGTTCAGTTCAGTTCATTCAGTTAGTTCAGTTCTAGTTCAGTTCTAGTCGTCTAGTCAGTTCTAGTTCAGTTCTAGTTCAGTTCTAGTAGTTCAGTTCTAGTTCAGTTCTAGTTCAGTTTAGTTCAGTTCTAGTTCAGTTCTAGTTCAGTTCTAGTTCAGTTCTAGTTCAGTTCTAGTTCATTCTAGGTAGTCAGTTCTAGTTCATTCTAGTTCAGTTCTAGTTCAGTTCTAGTTCAGTTCTAGTTCAGTTCTAGTACAGTTCTAGTTCAGTTCTAGTTCAGGTCTAGTTCAGTTTCTAGTTCAGTTCTAGTTCAGTTCTAGTTCAGTTCTAGTTCAGTTCTAGTTAAGTTCATAGTTCAGTTCTATTTCAGTTCTAGTTCATTCTAGTTCAGTTCTAGTTCAGTTCTAGTTCAGTTTAGTTCAGTTCTAGTTCAGTTCTAGTTCAGTTCTAGTTCTAGTTCAGTTCTAGTTCTAGTTCAGTTCTACTTCAATTCTAGTTTAGCTCTAGTTCAGTTCTACTTCAATTCTAGTTTAGCTCTAGTTCAATTCTACATGAACAACCTACCTCAACATCTCTTAATGTAGACCCCTAAAACATATGCAATTTGATCCACCCCTAACATAATTTCATACAACAACAGCAAAATTATCAAAAAATATAATTGCTCAATCAAATGTTAAATACAATTGCACTTAAATTTTAATTTCTTGTAGAAATATTTGCATTTTTCCAAAAATGTAAATTGAATGAAATCAAAATCAATATAAAACTTAAGCAAATATTTTACTATTGTTTAGTTTCCTAAGAAAGAAATTTGAACATAAAGAAGATATACAAATGTACAACAGTAGAAAATAAGGAAAATTTGAAATTCTAAAAAGGAAAAGAAAATAATTTGCAAAAATATTTCTTTAATGTTAAAACAACAAAAGAATTATTGAGGCTTTTTAAACAGTTAAGTACAACAAAACCAACAATTGCTAAACAATTTTAATGAGAAAATTACTAAAATTACTAGTGTTTAATGAAGAGATTTTTGTTAAAGGAAAATTATGCAAATTAATTGATAAAAAGAATTTAATTAAAATTAAAAAATAATGTTCAATTAAAGACCATTATTAAAGGAATGTAAGATAAGGTTTTGATTTAAATTTTTGCAAAATTTTTATCTTTTTTATTACTTCACTTAAATCAATATTTGCATATTATGACCATTTATTTAAAAAGCATGGCTTCAATAAATTCTTGTTTAAATGTTTTTTGTTTAAATCCCTTTGCTCTAATAAATTATTTTAACAAATCACCTGGGTCTATCATTAGCACATAATTTACTACAGCCTCTTGAACTCACACTCATCATACAACAATAAATAACTTTATAAAAATACGACAATAATATAATTTTTTGAAAAAATTTGATCAAACAACTAAACAAAACTGCGATTAGTGGCCCAAAATACATTTTTAAAACAATAAAACAACCATTAAGTGGCGAAATAAAGATTTCGCAAAAAAAGACACTTAAATATTCTTCTTAAGGCCCTTAACAGTCATAAACCACCAATGAAAAATATAAAACAAAAACAAAATAAACCTTTTTTTAGGAAATAATTTATTTATTTGTTTTTCTCTTACGGTTTAGGCCAACAAATTGTGTTACAGACAATTTCCGTTTTATTTCTATGCGAACATTTTTGAAACTAAATGTTGGCATTTTTTACTCCTGCCTTTTCGATTTAAAACTTTTAACAAACGAATAAAAACACATTAAAAGGTAATGTTTTTGAAAAGGAATGGTCACCTATGCATAAGGCAAAAATAAAATGCAAAAAACTGAAAAGGATATCAGAGAAAGCGAACAATTTTTGAGAACATGAAGGAATATAAATAAAAAAATTTTGTGGACTTAATGTTAAAAACTAGAACTAATCATGAACTAAAGTAGAACTGAACTAGAACGTGAAATAAGCTAGAATTAAACTGGAACGGAATGGAACTGAAGTAGAACTTAATTAGAACTGAACTAGAACAGAACTGAACTAGAACTGAACTAGAACTGAACTAGAACTGAACTAGAACTGAACTAGAACTGAACTAGAACTGAACTAGAACTGAACTAGAACTGAACTAGAACTGAACTAGAACTGAACTAGAACTGAACTAGAACTGAACTAGAACTGAACTAGAACTGAACTAGAACTGAACTAGAACTGAACTAGAACTGAACTAGAACTGAACTAGAACTGAACTAGAACTGAACTAGAACTGAACTAGAACTGAACTAGAACTGAACTAGAACTGAACTAGAACTGAACTAGAACTAGAACTGAACTAGAACTGAACTAGAACTGAACTAGAACTGAACTAGAACTGAACTAGAACTGAACTAGAACTGAACTAGAACTGAACTAGAACTGAACTAGAACTAGAACTGAACTAGAACTGAACTAGAACTGAACTAGAACTGAACTAGAACTGAACTAGAACTGAACTAGAACTGAACTAGAACTGAACTAGAACTGAACTAGACTGAACTAGAACTGAACTAGAACTGATCTAGAACTGAATTAGAACTGAACTAGTTCCTCTTCGACTATAGTATCTAAACTACTATAGTCTACCGACTATAGTCTAGCTACAAAAACAATTTAAACAAAAATTGTTTCTTTACGGAAAAAAATACATATTTATATTTTTTTCTAAAATATTCAAAAGTTCATGCCAAATCAAACATTAAGACATAAATTTCTTAAAATTGTCATACGAAAATCATTGCCGAAGAGGCGCTTTATGGATGCTGTTTCATTTTACAATAATAAAAATTGATATTGTCATCACCCCATTATAAAGTATAACACACAACCTTGACCATGACAGACGCCAAATGGTCTAGAAAAGTACAAGGTTATGGAAGTTTATCAGGGAGTGAAAAGTTGGCATTATCTTGAAGAACACTTTTTTTTTTCAATATATAACTTGTGTTGTTTGTAGTTTTGCAGTTTTTGAATTAAACTTTATGAGTTGTTTTTCAATAATTTGTTAGAAAATATATATTGTATTGGTGGTGCTAGGTACCGCGTTATCAGTTAGAAATTTCTAATTGTTAATCAAATGTTTTATTTTTATTTGATTTGTCAAGTGTGTATATGGAGAGGTAATGATTATTGTTTTTTTTAGGGGAAGTAGGATTAGGAAACTTGATGGATGTTTTTTAGCTTTAGCTGTTTAACTAAAGTTACTTACCCCCTTCCGGTTCTGAATCATCGATATAAATCATTTTGGTTTTATTTAGAGTATGTTCACGCAAACGGGTACCTATGCTGGAGGTTGTTTTTTGGTTGGTTGGATGGAAAAAGTTGAGAAGAGGTTTTGTTAACACTTTAAATTTTTTGTTATTGAAGTTTTTTTTTTGAAAAATTTAATTTTTTTATTTGTTTATTTAATTTTTTTTTGAGAATTTTTTTAGCTTAAGATTTTTTTATTATTTGTGGTTTAAATTTATTTATTTTTTTTGCTTAATTGCTTACTTTTTTGCGTTTTAAATAAATATTTTTAAACAAATTTTCTTTGTTAGAGGAAAAATTTATAAAATTTATTTTATTTTTTTTCTATAAGATATTTTTAGCTTTTTTTTATTAGCCTGAAACTTTATTTTTTAAGAACTTTTTTATCTTAAAAAAAATTTTTAAATTTTTGTTAATTTAAACACTTTTTCTTCACTTTTTTTTATTTTTCTTATTTTTTCTTTATTTTATAAGAATTTCTTATTTATTATCTATATTTAATTATAAAAAAAATTTCCCGTTTTCTTTTTATTTTCCGTTTAAAATTATTAATATAATTTTTTCTATTTTTTCTACTCAATGAGTATTTGTTGTTTGTTTTACATATAGCAAGTATTGTTGTTATTGTCAGCACAAGTATTTTCTTTTTTTGTTCTTGTTGTTGTTGTTGTCGATGTACTGCTGCTTCTTCTTTTACTTAGTGTTTAAAGGTAGAGAGCAATCTAACGGTGCCTAATCGCTCCCTGGTTTAAATTGTTTTGATTTGTCTCTGCTGGTTGTTGGGCTTGTTTAGTGCAAGAATGAACGAACTCAAATTGGTTGCTGTTGTTGCTGCTGTTGTTATTGTGTTTGCTCTATAACAATAACATTAAAAACGAAGGCAAGCAAAATTCAAACGATTTGTTTAGATACGATGTTCTATTTTCTCTATTTTATAGTTTTTGTTGTTATTGTTATTATTTGTTATAAATCGTGTTGTTTGTTTTTGTATTTTAGTTTTTCTTTTTTTTGTTTTTGTGTGATTTTTGTTTGTTTTGCCGTTTTGTTATTATTGCTGCTGCTCTTGTTGTTGTTTTAATTTGTTGGCAATTGGCCGTTACGTTTAAATTTTCTTGTTCTGTTTAGATTTTCCTCTTTTCGTTTAGATTTTATTGTAAATTTTGTATTTATCTTATGTTTGGTCGTACTTTTTCTTAAACAGCGCAAAAATGAGCTAAAAATACAAAAAAGAGAAAATAAACATGAAATAAACAACTTTTTGTTAAATAATTTTATAGAATAATAAAGTAAAATAATACTAATTAAAACTATACAGCACCATGGGCCCTGTTAACACAAAAATAATATTTTTAACCTTTAAGTTTAATTTAATTTTTTGCTATTTTTCTTTACCCCACTGTTTAACAAACAAACTAATCTTATTAGTATATCTTATTAGCCCTTGTTATATTTTAAGCAGCATTTTTTCTCTCTATATTATGTTTGCTTTAACTTTTTGTAAACATATACTTGTTGGGTATTTATTTCCTAATATTTCTATTTTTTTCCTGTTTGATTTTTGGTCTAAACACACAATTTGTCTAGTAAATGAAACACGTCTCAATGGTTTGAAAGAGTTTAGCAGCTGTACTGCAACTTAAACGAAAAACAACTACAAAAAGTATCTAAATACAAATATGTACAAAAAAAAAACAACAACAAAATAACAGCTACAAATAGAAAACCACACTAGACAAAATGATTTCAAGCACATGCTTCAAATATTTAAAAGCAGAAAAAAAAAGAAACTAACCAGAAAAAGAAGAAAATCTAAATAAACTAGAACAAATAACAAGAAATAGCACTACAACATCAGCAGCTAAAGATTGTTTTTATTTTTGTGAATTTTTCTATATACAAAACTGAAATAAATTTTAAAATATATTTTAAATCTATATACATACATATAAACACTTTCTTAAGTATGTGTATACAAAGAGCCATATACTTGTGTATTTCAAAAGTATTGAGTCTAATAAATTTTGTTTAAAGTACTTCTATGCTAAACCTCAAGAAAATAAAATAAAATTTAGCAAAAAAAAAAAAAAAAACTTAAAGTAAACAAAATAATAGAGAATATGATCGAGAATATGGAACAAAGTTTAGATACTATAGTCCAGACTATAGACTACATTATAGAGTAGACTAGAGACCAGACTATAGACTATACTATAGACTAGAATATAGACTAGACTATAGACTAAACTATAGACTAGACTATAGAATAGACTATAGACTAGACTATAGACTAGACTATAGACTAGAGTATAGACTAGACTAGACTATAGACTAGACTATAGACTAGACCATAGACTAAACTATAGACTAGACTTTAGACTAGACTACAGACTAAACTATAGACTAGACTATAGACTAGAATATAGGCTAGACTTTAGACTAGACTATAGACTAGACTATAGACTAGACTATAGACTAGACTATAGACTAAATTATAGACTAGACTATAGACTATACTATAGACTAGACTATAGACTAGACTATATACTAGACTATAGACTAGACTATAGACTAGACTACAGACTAAACTAAAGAATACACTATGGACTAGAATATAGACTAGACTATAAACTAGACTATAGAATAGAGTATAGACTAGACTATTGACTAGACTATAGACTAGACTAAATACTAGACTATGGACTAGACTATAGAATAGACTATAGACTAGACTACAGACTAAACTATAAACTAGACTATAGACTAGACTATAGACTAGACTAGACTATAGACTAGACTATAGACTAGACTATAGACTAGACTATAGACTAGACTATAGACTAGACTATAGACTAGACTATAGACTAGACTATAGACTAGACTATAGACTAGACTATAGACTAGACTATAGACTAGACTATAGACTAGACTATAGACTAGACTATAGACTAGACTATAGACTAGACTATAGACTAGACTATAGACTAGACTATAGACTAGACTATAGACTAGACTATAGACTAGACTATAGACTAGACTATAGACTAGACTATAGACTAGACTATAGACTAGACTAGACTAGACTATAGACTAGACTATAGACTAGACTATAGACTAGACTATAGACTAGACTATAGACTATACTATAGACTATACTATAGACTAGACTATAGACTAGACTCTAGACTAGACTATAAACTAGACTATAGACTATACTATAGCATATACTATAGACTAGACTATAGACTAGACTATAAACTAGACTATAGAATAGAGTATAGACTAGACTATTGACTAGACTATAGACTAGACTACAGACTAGACTCTAGACTAGACTATAGACTAGACTATAGATTAGACTATAGACTAGACTATAGACTAGACTATAGACTAGACTATAGACTAGACTATAGACTAGACTATAGACTAGACTATAGACTAGACTATAGACTAGACTATAGACTAGACTATAGACTAGACTATAGACTAGACTATAGACTAGACTATAGACTAGACTATAGACTAGACTATAGACTAGACTATAGACTAGACTATAGACTAGACTATAGACTAGACTATAGACTATTCTATAGACTAGACTATAGACTGGACTATAGACTAGACTATAGACTATACTATAGACTAGACTATAGACTAGACTATAGACTAGACTATAGACTAGACTATAGACTAGACTATAGACTAGACTATAGACTAGACTTTAGACTATAATTACCATCCTAACTGTTAAAATAAAAATAACTTTTTTATTACGATTTCGTACAAAAATTAGCTCGATTTATTGACATTAAATTTAACAAGTTTTTGTTCACACTTTGTTGTTGGTGTTTTTGTTTTCTCGAAATAAATGATAAGAAATTTGTTTTGTTATCTCTAATTTACTTTTGAGCACCGATAAACACACTTTGACAGTAGTTTTTGCTTTTTTTCTTTATTCAACAATCGCTGTTTTTTTCTTCATTGTGTTTGATGACATTCGATTACGTAGTAAAAGTAAAATCATGAAATTATTTGTTAAAACAATCAGTTTGGTTTTTTCTTTTATTTTTTCATTTCAACAAAACGAGCGATGAAATCATTTTGCACAAGAACAAGCAAAACAATATCAAGGTAAAGGTAAGGGGGTCAAGTGCTCGGGGGGAGGGTTTTGTTTGGGGCAAAAAACTAAAGCCCCAAAAATTTCATTGTTGTGTTTTTAATAAGATTTCAGAGGTCAGTTATGGAAATTGGCTAGAAAATATTTATTACGTCAATTTTGCTTGGTATTATTTATTTTGTTAACAATTTCATTAGAACAAAACTTTAAATGTTTTTTGTAGTGGAAAATTTTTTCGCGAAAAAAAGCAAACAACTAATTGAATTAATTGTTGATTAAATAATTAAGTGTTGTCATCAAGCGGGAAAAAATGTTTGACCGGAAATGTTGCACACTTTTATTGTTGATCGGAATTTCTTTTATTCTTACTTTTTTTTCAAAGAAATTCTGTGGCAGTTTTGACAGATTTAATTAAAAATAATTTGTAAATTAAAAATGTTGTTAAGATTTTGTTTAGAAAAACCATTGAATCATGTTAATTTTGCTTTATGTCTTAAATCTTTTGCAATTTGTGGGACGTTTAATATTAATTGAAATTTATTTAAATTTTGAAAATATTACAAACAAAATTCACAAACAAAATTTGTATTTTATAAAAGGATTATAAAATAAAATTTCCATACATATAGTCTAGTCTATTAGTCTAGTCTAGTCTATAGTCTAGTCTATAGTCTAGTCTATAGTCTAGTCTATAGTCTAGTCTATAGTCAAGTCTATAGTCTAGTCTATAGTCTAGTCTATAGTCTAGTCTATAGTCTAGTCTATAGTCTAGTCTATAGTCTAGTCTAGAGTCTAGTCTATAGTCTAGTCTATAGTCTAGTCTATAGTCTAGTCTATAGTCTAGTCTATAGTCTAGTCTATAGTCTAGTCTATAGTCTAGTCTATAGTCTAGTCTATAGTCTATCCTATAGTCTAGTCTATAGTCTATCCTATAGTCTAGCCTATAGACTAGTCCATAGTCTAGCCTATAGTCTATCCTATACAAAATTTCCTTGGTATTGAACATTTTATTTTTTCATATCTTTTAGTCAAGATCACAGCCAAATTGTTTTATGTTTTCATCACATTTCAGCACTTTAGATAGATTTAAGTTAAAAGCTTCTTGTGTGCGTTTTTGCTCCTAACCGAAATTTTATTGATCTCTTATTGGTGACAGCTTAATTGAAGGCTTATTCATTACTGAGATTTTTACAGATTTTCAAATTGTGCGCCTACACTTAAGTCAAATGTTTTTTGTTTCCTTTTTGTGCAAAAATTCATTTCATTTCATCATTTACATTTGAGTCAAGTTACATACAGACATAGAAATTCATGCAGCCAATTAAGTAGACACTTGTATTTATAACCCATATATGTAAAGTATAAATACTTGTTTGCGTAGAACCTGCAGTTCGCAGTATATTCCCTTTCAGTGATTTAATCTAATCTAATTTCTATAAAAATGCATAATAATAACTTCTTTCTAAAGTAGAGTAGATACAGAAAGAATCGGTTTAGATGATGACTAATTTCCTCTATTTCACTTCTGGGCACTAAAGTGACCACTGACAACTAGTATAAAACTCTTAAGATATATATGTAGGTGTAAAAAGGATCCTTCAACTCCTTGTAGAACTGCTGGGTATGTATAAGACTACTTACACTTATGCCAGCCAATTGAACATACACACATTATTTTTACAGTTGTATTAAAGATTTGTAAATTCTCACATTTCTTTATACATACATTCTCATGAATACTTAACATTCCTTTTTGTGTTTGTTTTTTTATTTTTTTTGCTGTTTTAATATTTATACTTTTTGTTTTATGTATTCATATTTGTGTTGTTGTTTGTTATTTATGCCTTTTTAACATAAAAATGAAATTCTTTACGAATGATTGATTTGCTTTTAAATTTTTCAGTTTCATTTTTTATACAGAATTGTTTCTTAAACTCATACTTTTCGTATATTTTTATTGCTAAAGTCTGGGCCTCTTTTCTGTGGGATCAAATGTGGAGTGTTTAATGAAGATTGTTTTTATAGGATTTCACTGAAAGAAAATTTTTTTATTTTTAGGGTAGTACTTGCTTAGGTATGTTACATTAAATAAGTAATAT